GTGCAGCAAACAAGAAAACTTTCAGATTTTAAAGTTTCCATTGATACCCATTTTGAGTGTCAGTGCAGATTTTAAAATCTCATTGAGCATTTTCTTGGATAAGGACCATTACAGCATATGACAGAAGAGGGCAAACTGGTTTTGGTAGAAAATAAAGTATTATACATCATTAACAACTTTCTTTTCTGAATCATTTCACCAATCTTGTTTTTCTCTGGATATATACTGTTGTGTGTTGATTACTGATAATTTGAGCAGCTAATTAGAATGCCAAAAGGAAGCAGAAGAGCTACATTTAATCTTCCAACTCACTAAATGTCAATATAACATATATATATACACACAGAGACTTTTTTTTTCCAAAATGCCTTGAATGATTTGAAAAAAGAAAAGTAGGAAGGAAGAACACTGCAGTTAATGTAGCTGAAATCTTTGAAATTGTCTGTTGAGACAGAAATGTGAATGCAATGATGTTTATTACTGTGATCAAAAAGAGAAGGATACAGAATTTATTTGGAAAGTGATATTGTAGTACCCTCATTCATTTAGTAATAGAAATACCATAGAATTTTGCTGTTGTTTCCATCCAAAGTGGATAAGAATTTATACTGTTGTTAGTTTGCTGCAGAATTTCATGAAGTACTAAAGGCAGAGTTTAGTAAAAAAGGTGTATCCTATTACCATTCATGCAACATAGACAATGAATAACAAAGATGAAGAGTAAGTTTTCAGATGTTATCTGCTCATAATCAAAGGCTGGAGCTGAGCACAAAACCATAGAATAGCTGTGTAGGACCATGAAGAATGATTTTTATGTACCTGTAAGTGTGCTTAAAAAGAAAAAGAAAGAAAACCTCTTTGAAGAAAATGTGGATTCTCCTCTGTTCTGCACTGCTGGGGAAGACAGGGAGAGAGAGGCACGATGCAGGGTATTTTTGATGATAATTTAAAAGATCCAACAACAAATGGTGTGATAAAACAGCTGCTTTAATAAGATATAATAAAAAGAGGAATACAGATAGCAGGCAGATCTTGCATCCCTTCACATGCTGTGCATCCCACATTTATGCAGCATGGGATTAATGCTGGATGGATTTTCCCACGCCAGGCTGCACAGATCCTGTCCTCTCCCTCCCATACTGTGGTGGCTTATATCCAGTGCAACAAAACCCCCCCAAGTATCTTCTGGTATGTTGCAATGTTATATTTGTCATAACACTCACAAGTGTTCAGCACAGGCTTTTATAGGCATTCTGGCATATAACCTTGTAGCAGGTACCCATTCTAACATTCAGGCTTTCCAAGCCTTAGGCCCAATGTAGCAGACATGGACTGCTCAAGATCTCTAATTTCTTGACTACAATGTCTTCTGCAAGGCTCCCAGTACATCTCCTGATACCATTTAATAACTTTATGTTGTATGAATACCTTCCTTCTCATAAATCAAGGAAACAGGGCACAAGAGAAGATGCTGGTATTCTGTCTTAAAACCAGAAAATTTTCCTGAGAGCTGTCAATAATTATATATTCTTACATCTTGAAGTTTGTGTTTGAGAATTGAGTATAGGATGTGGCTGAAAATGTTAATTTTGCTTAACCAAAAAGGCAGGGAAACAGTATGTTCTCAGCATATTTTCTATCTACAGATGTTGTATTTGTTCCAGCACTGCAGTCTTTATGTGAAGACTGCACATCTTTCCTGAACAGAAGTTATAGGACTGATTAAAAAATTAAGTGAGGTTTCTTGTTCTGTGTTAGGTGAGATGATAGCTGTTGTTTATGATTTTATATTGCACTCTTAAGTTATGACTGTTTTCTTCTAACCTGTTAATGTTAAAATTAATATGTATGGGGCTTTTAAGGCACTTTTTTATCCCCTCTCCTTTTTTGAGCAAAGCTCAGAATCATACATATCGTTTTGCATTCACACAATTTAATGTGTTCTGTACTCAGCATCTTAAATCATTTAATTTGATGCGGTACAGTTGCATAATTGTAATTACTTTTTATTTTCTTTCCTATGTCACCCCTAGAAAAATAGACAGATAAAAAGTAGAACTTTGTAGCTGAACTTATGGGACCCCAAGTGCTATATATTACATGGTTATTTCCTCACAATGTGAAAACTAATTTTAAAGAAAATCCTTCAGGTTGCCCTGGGGAAATTAATTTGCTTTATTGCATAAAAAAAGACTATGTAAGATAACATAGACAAACACAAAACTGTGATCTGCATCTAGAGCCACTGTCTGGGCATGCAGGGATAAATTTGAAATTCCAGAACCCACTTGGAGCTGAGTTTGGTGAGGGACATGAAGAGCAAATGATGGGCTGCTATAGAGATACCAGCAGTGAAAAACAGGCTAAGGCAAATGTGAGCCTTCTGCTGAGTGGGATGATGACTTGGTGGCAAAGGATATGGCAGGAGCCAAGTAGTACCAAAGGTCTTCTTCACATCAGTCTTTACTGCCAAAACTGTCCCCAGGAATGTGACACCAAAGGAAAAGTTTGGTAAGGAAGTAATCTTCTAGCAAGGAAGCCTTATCCATTGTGAATAGGATCTGATGGAGACCTTTTAAACAAACTGGACATTCACAGGTCAAAGGGCCTGGATAGGATGCACCCACACACGCTGGGCATTTCACCTGCAGTGGAAAGAATTATTTTGTGCAGCTTTAAAGCCATAAGGATATTGTTCTCTTATAAATCTTATTTTATAAAAGTCAACACCTCTTTCTTCTCATCTAAACTAAAATAATCCAAGATCTTTTTAACCTTTCAGTCCATTCTTTCTGTAGTTGCAGTACTGATATCTACTGATTAAGTCTTTATTTAGAAAATGGTAGCTGTCAATAAAACATCAAACATATTCCATCTCATGATTGCAATTTACAGCAGAGGTCCAGTTTAGGAGAATAATCAAACAATTTAAACCAAAGCATCCAAATATCATTTAGAAGAGACTGGTTAAATACTCTGTTCATGTCTGCCACTGAAATATGCAGTAAAACAAATCTATTTTTTGCTGTCAGCACTGGTTATCTAAGAGTCATACTGATATTAGCAGTTTAGTCGGTAAAAATTTTCCTTTAGAGCAGCTCAATGTGTGGAGGATGCATGCTCAGCCAATGGAGCTGAGATGTGCTTCAAGCTAAGGTCTTCTGAAAGTAAGAATCTGAAATCAGAAGAACACATATAATGGCAGATGATTGAGAAATAGTTAAAAACTTGTTGACTCCATTTTGATCTTAGCAGAAGTTCAACATAAATTCTGCCTCCTGATGTAAACATTTACTTACTAAGTGACAGGATGGCAAATTCTGTTAATCTTCTCTTTTGCCAGTTTATTGGATCCTAACAGTTCAAAAATTACAGGAAAGGCAAGGATGATATCTGAAAATAATGCACACATAATAGTTCAGAGAATTAATTTGTTTTAATGATAATTAAACACAGACTGAGGATGTTTGAAAGCTATGCCTATATTCTGTGTTTTTATCCTAGTATTCAATATCACTTCAGTAGCATTACTATTCCTTTCTGTTTGCATCAAGATCCCATTTTTACACTTCAAAGCACTGACTATAAGACATAATTATCATCTTCATTTTGTCAAGGGAAAATTTAATGACAGTTTAAATACTGTGTCTAAGGTCATATAATGAGGTCGTTCTGTTGAGGTAATTTGTGAAAAAAAGAATCAGGAGACACAAAATAGTTGGAGATTAAAACAAAAGCCCTGTAGCTGTGTTATCCTAAGCCTCTGAATCATGAGTTTGTCAGAAAGCACATGGACACTTCTTCCAAGGACCCTTGTGCATCTTTGGGGCTCTGTATATTCTTTCAGAACTCAGGAAGAGAAATGCTGCACTACCTAAGGCAAAAAGCCCATCTTTGTCCTGTCAGTAAAAGATGTTTGGGAACAGTAAAAGATGCTTGGGAAAATAATACTGTCTGGATCTTTACTAGAGTGACAGTTGTTCCTGTTTCCACTCTCAAGTTTCAGCTGTCAGCAGCTGAGGGACTTTGTATACCAACATAATTTTAAGTAATATGTCTTCATTACATTTTCCAAACTTTTTTTTTTTAAAGCACAAGAATATTTAGCTTTTGCAACACTTGTTTCAATGAGCATAACAATTTCATTATGTGTATGTGTGACATATGTATTCTCTAATATTCCTTTCCTTTAATTTTTTGTTTATTTCTTAATACCATTACTTTCCAATATGCTTTGTTTTTCAGTGATGGTGTTTTAAAATTTTTATTTTGTGGCATGCTGAGCTCTAAATATTTAAAATTTGAAAAAATTATATTTGCTTTCTTTTTTTTTTCTTCTCCTGAGGCAGAAAGAGCAATATTAGGATAATAAATTTTCATTGGTTGCAAAGGTCTAAAAACCAGCTGTAAACAAGATAGCCAAATAAAACTCATTTTTTCATGGAAAAAGGCAACTTAAACGTTTAGTTGTTTACCATGACATCTTATACTTCCCATCTTGGTGCTCCAAAGATAATAGCAAATGTCATACAGCATGCCAACTTTAATAGCAAGCTTGCACTACAGTCATGCCTAAGAATATCTCTTGTGCCTTTTGGTTTTGCATGTTTCTGTCATAACTATATCCTGAAATAAATCTCTTCAAAGCCCAGTGCTTAAAGGAAATTGTGAAAATTACATCACCTGCCATTAATATATATCATTTATGTGTATGCAAACTTTTTGCAATGGATTATGAAATGTGCTATTGCTAATGGCTAATGGAGTCAACTTGGGGGAGTGTAGTGAGAGTGTTGGGGTTTACCCTATCTCCACTCACAATTTTGTCATGTGACAAAGAGAACTATTGCTAATTCACTGTTTCCTTTGATGTACCTGTAGAAGTATGTTAGTGAATCAAAGGTTAAAACATCATAATTATTTCAAAATTGATATATCATTTCATGTTTTTTTCTTGTTCATTTGTGCTTTCTGTTCTTTCCCTCTCTTACATGCTGCAGTTGCAAACATATTGTGGCGAGAGCAAGGTACTAATACTGATTACTTTTTTTCATATCTTCTATATTATGGTGAAATGCTCATCTGTTGTTTCTTTTGTGTGTCTGTGTCTGTTTGTTTATACTCTACCGTTCCAGTAATCACCTTCCCCCTTGCAACATTTGAGGAATTTGATTTAAAGAAAAATTACAGTGGATAACAATCCTTTAAATGCTCATGCCTTTGTGAACTGCTTTTCCTTTGGGGGAGAGAGAAGGAAATAAGCTGTTAAAAATTTTCAGACAATTACTCAAAGGTATACAACAAGAGGCATAGATTTCAAATGTAGACTTTAATCTTTTGTTTGTTTGTTGACATGATAAAGCTTCCAACCAGCCAGCCTGTATGCTGTTGGGATTGATCTTCTATGAATCAATCCTATCTGACAAAATTATAATCTTAAACAGTTTAATGCAACTTGAGATACCTGCTCTTTCTTAATAAACCAAGTGTTTTATTCTTTTAGTCAGGATGGGTTCGTAAATAAATGTTGGGAGGGGAAATGGATGTTTGTGATTTGTGACTGACTGAAGGATAAATATAAATACAGACAGTGTTAGATGTTAATAACATAGAAAGCATGGAAAGTATACTTTACTGGCAAAGGCTGGTATTAATTTTCATATATATGAGGTAATCTTATAAAGATTAATCTCATATTCCAGAAAAATACAATAATCTGAGTGTTGTCATGAGCTCTCATATTTTCCTGTAAGTAGCCTGTTATTCATTTAAATTTGCAATTCAGGAATTAATATATTTTTGGAATACGAATTTATTTCAATTATTTCCATTGGAAGATTGATAATGCACAAGTGGATCAGGCTCTGTTTTGAATTCATGCTACACCTGTTTTTTCTGCATATTTCTTAAAGATTTGTTTTCAGTTAATTTAAAGATTGAAAAACACAGTATTTCATTTGCCTAATTACATAGTAACCTTTGGCATTCCCCAGTGTGTTTATAAATATGAACTAGTTCTATTTTTTATATTACTGTTTTACCAGTTGCTCAGCTGGTATAAACAATCAAGTTCTCTGATTATAGTGGAGCTCAGCTGTGATTCTCCTGCTCTATTGGCCTTGCAGAGTACAAATGATGTGTTCAGAGTTTCATACAATTCCAGTGTTAATTAAACTGATGTGCAACAAGATTCTAGCACCAAACTTTTCAAATATATGGTGTTTTCATCACTTGTTGGGAAGGTATCACTTGTGTATTATCTTGTGTTTAATCTTGAATAAAACTGAAAACATAATTGGTACCCCCTTGATTTTTTTAGAGTTTTGTCTTTTCAAGTCAAGTCCTGTGTTGCTTTCAGTGAATAGAAAGCACTTAGGAAAACTTAAATTCTGTGACAATAAAGATGAGTTAAAGATAGTAGCTTACCAGAGTGCTTATGGTAAACACATTCAAATTTCTCTGTGACTATTGTGAAACTAAGCAGGAAGCTATTGATAGTAGCAGATTTTCTATCATCCAGAGCAGATTTGCTTGATCTCTTCTGCATTTCTCAGTGGCCAATCCTTGTGTTTCCAAGAAATGCTGTTACTAGTTGCAATGCTGGAAATCACTTAGAAGAGAGCAATACCCTGAAGATGCCAATAAATATCACAACTAATTTCTCTGGGCCATGCATAATCTGTCATTTTCTGTTATCAAAGTATTAACAGGTAGGAAGGGAGGGATGATTGGTAGAACAATCAAGATCATGAAACCATAGATAGTCTTTAGTGCCTACAGTGCCTATTTCTATATGGAGTACACAAAAAGCTTATCACAACTACTTGCATCAGAAAATCTGGAAGGATTTTGAAGGTACATTAATTTGTATTACAATAATGTTACAATATATAAACAAATTTAAATATATTCATATATTCATAGACATGCAAAAGAGCCCAAACCACCACTATTCTATTCAAATCAGTGTTAGCCAGTTTTAAATGTTAATTCAGTCTTAATGAAGCAAATTTATCTGCTTTTATCATTATTGATTCTGGCACTGTATTATAAATCTACAAGGTTGTATTTGGTGGGGAGGGGTGAGCAAAATTAGGTCAGATGCCTCTACAGGAATAGCTCCTGTAGTTGTGATGAAGTGGCTTGCCTAGGTGATTAAATATTTGTACAAATTAGATATATATACAGGTATTTATAGCCACTCAAATTAAGAGTTTTGGATCATAATAACTTGGGGGATTAATTAATTAGACCCACAGATAGATTCCTTATATGAACTGACTTCCCTAACTCAGTATTGAAATGGAAAATGGACATTTTGTACTATGTCCTTCACTGATTTTGGAGTACAGTTTGGTGGACATTACTACCCAGGCTTTGGAATTAAAGCCTTAAAAGTTTGGGCTGGGTTACTCTACACAGATATTATCTGTACCTTGGAAAGCTTGTCTTGGAGTACTGGCAGCTGAGATGGAAGTTTTAGGAGTCTGTTTATCAAATGTCTGGATCACTTGGGGCTATCATCTGATTAACTTCCTCACATTCTGAGATTACTTATCCTGCTTACAATTATAATATAATAATCATATAATTATAATATACTTTAGTCAACAAGATGAGGGAAAAGGGAAGATCCTGTTTTGCTCCCAACCAGCTCCACCTATTCATCACCAAAACACAGTAAGCCAGTGCTCTACACTGTGTTCACTGGTAGGCACAGCCTACCCTCAGTCAGGCTTATCTACAAATTCCAGCTGTTCTTACAGGATGCAACAGCAGGCATTTTCTAAAGAAAGACCTTAACATGTTATCTTACACAGGATGTATGATTTACCTACAAAGGCATACAAAAATGTCCATTGGCCAGAGCAGACATATTGCCCTGAGTGCACCTTATGCTCTGAATAAACAAGATTGGTGAGGTTTTTGTGAACCTGAGCCTGCTTCTATGCTACACCAAATGCAGCATAGAGAAATTACTCTCTCACTTTTTGGTAACCTGTTAATAGATAGATTTGATCTAAAGTTAGGAAAACCCTGCTTAGAAACTGTCCCTCTTTCTTTTGGGGAATACTTGGCCAGAAATTGGAAATAATTCCACAACATTTCTCAAAGATAATTGGACTTGTTTGTTCTGGGCATGACCTGACAGCTTTTTGCATATTACTGCCTTCTAAATGACTGTATTAGTTATGTGATTCCTAATGGGGAGTGGAAATTTTTATGTATGTGTGTACATACATAAATCTATACAAAAACATACACTCCCACCCTCACGCCCCTTAAACTCCTTTTATATTAAGATGTGTTCTCTGTATATTAACATAGGTTTTCCTTCAGAATTTAGGATTACAGAATTTCAGGCTCAGATTTCCTCTTCCTGGTTTTCATTCCCCTGTGTACTTTTACCAAATTTGTTATGTCAAGTGGAAACTTAGCCCACTGTTTAGCTGTCAGAGTAGTTATAGTGATAAATTTATGAGCACTGTAATTTTCTTCGTTGAATTTTATGAATATTAACTGATCATCTATCATAGCATCCACATTGCAAACCAACAACTGTTGTCTTAGTTGGCACATGGTAAACTCAGGAGAATGTCCTTTTCTATGGTCATGCCCATGACCACAGATATCTGGTTCCTACCTGCTTCACAAAACTTTACATCATGCCTCTTACTCAGCAACATTGCAGTAGAAGGATTGAGAATTTCTATAAATATTTGTGACCCATCAACCTTGGGTTGAATATCTGCTCAACTCTGTCTTTCCAATAAAATACAATAGAGAGTATTTCCTTTTCTGATTGAAAAGATGTCAAATGAGGGTTTATAATAAAGATTCAGGTCTTCTCTTTCAGTGTTATACAGAAATTATGTTAATTCTTCCATCCCTCAGCAAAAGGGAAAAAAATATATGGAGAATTTATATTACTTTGATTCATCACAGATGATTCCGCAAGATCATTTTTATTCCTGCAGCTGTCAAACTGTGTATTTCTAGATCTGTATTCATAATGATACTGTCTGGCCAATGAGCAAATTATGTGAAATTCTGAATAATGTAATAGTTTAGTTTTAGTTTTACAACATAAGATCCTATCATACCAAAACTCTGATGAGGTTTCTAGTTCAAGAAAAAGATTTTCTTTTTTGTCATTATTTAATTTTATACATTTAAATGTGTTTTTGTTCCTAAGGTCTGGGAATTGGGAACATGTTTTATGTTTTTTATGAAGATGGCATCAAAGTAATACAACCAGTGGAATGTGAATTTCAGAGACATATTAAGCCTAGTGAAAAACTCCTCGGTTTTCAGGCAAGTTATTTTTAAAAATTTATTTGTAGTGTTTTCTCAATTATAGTTTTCTTTAGATAAGAGTTTATTATTACTAATTTAGTGTTTTCTGCTTGATAAATTGAGACGTCTTCTCAATTAATAAATAGCTTATAATGGTGAACTCAAAATTTCCTGTATTTTCCTTGATTAAATTCAAACTTTCAGTTTCTCTTTTAGAATGAATATTCCCTGTATACTTTTGAAACCCTTTATTTCTTTGGCTGTCTTTTTCCTTTACCAGTCCTTTAACAGCTCTTTATTTTGGATTTTGTTGTTGTTGCTGTTGTTTTCTTCCACTCCCCCCCACCCCCCACCCCAGTTAAACATATCTCTATGAATCAGGGATTGATTTTCTGTCTATTAAATGTAAGATCTAAAGTTATTATTTTTAATGGCTTCTTCTCCACTGGATGTTCATCTGTATTAAACTATTAGCTATCATGAGGCAAATCCCTGTCCTGATAAACACATCTCCACTGAAGTTAGTAGATATGATTGATGCTTTGACTCCAACTTAAAATTCATATAAGTAGTTTCAATAACTTTATTGTTAACATATTTATAGCAGTTTGTATCGAATTCTGTGAATTTATGAAGCTGTTTCCCTGTGTAGGGTACAAAAAACCACTAGTGTATTTTTCACTTCCATTTATTCGTGTGATGTTTTTGCTTTACTGCTAATTAAATTGCTAGCTGACATGGTCCATGTTCTCACAGAAACACTTGGTACTAGTCACTGCATTAAAGCTTACACTGTATGATCTCTAACCTTTCAAAACCAGTAACTTTTTCTCATTTGGATTTGAATGAGTGACCTTGAAATATGTACTAACTCATGAGTTGTACACTTTGGGGATTTTTGTGTATGTTTTTTTTTTTTTTCTCTAAGCCTAAAGCACACTGAAATAACAGCAGAACTGTCTCAATGTAATTTGCTTCTTCAGTTATCATTATTGATGTGAAAGGCTCCTGTACTCAGCAACAAGATTTATTTTCGTGTGAATAATTATGCTTTGAACAGCTAATCATACCTTGATTTGTGCTGCTTAAGTGAAATTAGGTTGACACAGCCAAAAATAAGCCAGAAAACTTTTTTATGGCTGTTTAATTCAACAGCTGATTATTTAGGAAGTCTGTTAAAATTTTATTGATCTAAAGGGCATTCTAGATTTTCAGTGTATTTTTATTAAAATGTAATAATAATCAGGATGGATAAGTAAAATTTGTTTCTTTTTTGAGCCTTTCAAAC